AAAGAGAAAAGAAAAAGAGCAAGAAAGTGAGAGAAAAAGAGAAAAGAAAGTGAGAGAAAGGAAGAAAGAAAGAGAAAAGAAAGAAAAAAGAGAGGGACAGAAAGAGAAAAAAAGAGGAAAGAAAGAGAAAAGAAAAAGAAGAGAATGAGAAAAGAAAAAGAGAAAAGAAAGTGAGACAAAGGAAGAAAGAAAGAGAAAAAGAGAAAAGAAAAAGAGAGAGAGAAAGAGAAAGACATAGGATTTTCTTGTGCCTCCTCTGGGTGGTAATTGGCTTAGCAGTCATGGTGGTAGAAGAATACAACTCCCTTGGTTGTGAAGCCTTACTTCTGAATTGTAACCAGCTCTTAGCTGCACACTTGACCGTGAGGAGGAATAATTCTGAATGAAAAACAAACAAACGAGGACAGACACCTAGTTATTACACTGCTTTGTGTTTTTGGCAAGCGAGAGGGAGCTCAGTTTTAACTCTGGGGAGGTGGCAGATTTTTTTTCTAGTTGTAAAATTAGTTCCTGCAAGGCTGAGTTGTAACGTTGCACCACGTTTACTTTTCTGATGACCATTATAGCTTTTCTTGCATCTTAAAAATAAGGAATCTTCCTTGAAAAGATATGGTGTGTTATTTATCACAATTTTACGTGGCTGCCCATCTCACTCAAGTCGACCCAGGTAGTCCTCAACCTGCAACAGTTTCATTTAGTGACCCTTCAAAGATGCAACAACCCTGAAAAACGTGAGTTATGGCCATTTTTCACACTTTACGGCCGTCGCAGCCTCCCCGTGGCCACATGATCAAAATTCAGACCCTTGGCAACCAACTCATATTTATGACGGTTGCGGCATGTGAGCTTCTGATGAGCAAAGTCAACGGGGATGCTGGATTCACTTAACAATGTAACTAACTTAACTGCTACTGTGATTTACTTAATGACGGTGGCAAGAAAAGTCTGTAAAATGGGGCAAAGCTCACATAACAAATGTTTCACTTAGCGATGGAAATGTTGGGCTCCGTTGGGGTCATCAATCAAGGATTACCTGCATTGCAAAGAAATATAAACAGCCAGTTAATAACCAATAACGGAAATGTGGTTCTAAGCAGGGGACCAACTATCCTATCTGGTAGAACTGCCCAAAAGCAAAAAAAAAATGTTGGCAGGAAATTAGAAATTGGCTTGAAGAAATTACAAAAGTTAAAACTGAATGGAAACCAGAAATATTTTTGTTAGGGATTCTAAAACCAAAAAATAGTAAATATATATATATATATTATACAGTACTTCACATATTAACAGCAGCAAGGCCTGCCTTTGCCCAAAATTGGAAATGGGAAAATACTCCCCCCGACTTCATGATTATAAAAAAAAGTTTTGGAATGAGCAGAAATGGACAGGTTATCAATGGAACTTAAAAACAAAGAGGAATCAGAATATTTTGAGATTTGGAATTTTTGGTATCGTTGGTTGGAAGGTAGATATGAAAGGAACAAAACTAAGTCAAATAAAAAGGTATGACGGAAATTAGTAACGTTACATGCAGCTATGTTTGTAGTATATAATTAGATGAAACTTTGTGTTATATGTTAAAGTAATAAGTGTGAATGATTTATTCTGCATAATTTGAGAGATGAGTCAGATTGAGGGAA